GGCGTTGAGGTAATTTCAAGTTTAACCCTTACGTATAAAGACTTATAGTATTTAGCCCTTGTGCATGAGAAAGTTGGCAAAATGGTCTATAGTGTCATTTTTTGTAAATTCCAGGTTGAGGCTTCGTACGTTGGGCGTACGTTGTGTACGTTGAGCGTACATGCGTGGGTCTTAGTATGATGGGTGTACTCCGAGTACGCAGGGCGTACGTAAGAAATCCTCAAACCCTAATTTTTAGGGTTTGAACCCTATTTAAGCAGCATTATGGCCTCCAACCTCATGTCTCATCAGCCTCCAACACCTTCAATCGATTTTAGCAAAGCCTAGCCATTTGTTTGAGCAATCTTGACCCTTATGTGTGTGTTTGGTGATCTTGAAGGAGAAAGAAGGAAGTAGAACCGTCTTGGAAGCTTGAAGGAGCCTTGATCTAGGATCTTCACCTCTCAAGCAATCTCCAAGAGGTATAAAGTTGCAAACTTGAGTTGTATTTCATTAGATCTTACTAAGTCCTTGATTCATCTGCATTTTGTCCCAAATCTTGACCTTTTTGGAGTATGGCATGCTCTAGTCCATTCTAGTTGTCCATTCAGATGTTTTGAGAGACTTTGAAGCATAAAAAATAGGGTTTTCGAGTTTCTTGTTTTTCATTTTGTTCTTCATTTAGAACAGAGATAATCTTAGATTCTTTTAGTTTTATCAAATTGCAATTATTTTGGCTAGTCGATTGATCACGTTCTTGATCCTTTTTAACTTGTCCCGATGAACTATTTAGAACTAAGAATATACAGAACGAATCATATTGATCTTTTCGTTTTATTTGTTTAAACTTCTTTTTAAATTCTTTTCCGGTCCAAATGAAGTTCTTATGGTTTTTCGAGTTATTCTCTGTTAGGTTATTAAATTGGGATATATATACACTAAAGTCCCAATATTTTCATTGATTTTACAAGAATGTCCTCAACTTTATTTTTTTGACAGTAAAGTCCTAATTAGAGACAGTTTTTGACATGTTTACATTTTTTCCGGTTAGCCGGTAATTAGGACTTTATTGTCAAAAAAATAAAGTTTATGACTTTCTTGTCAAATCGTTGATTACAACTTTACTGTCAAAATAATAAAGTTTAGGACTTTCTTATCAAATCGTTGAAAATATTGGGACTTTAGTGTTATTGTAGCCCAAGAAAGAGCGAGAGATTGGTTCTCCGCAAAATCTTGAACTGAAAAGAGGGGACAGATTGTACAAACACAAACACACACCTAGTCAAAAAGTATGAATGTGGAGAAGGGGTAAAAAGGACAGTTTCGGTTTCTTAGTTCTCCATTTTTTAGGACTGCAAAAAGCCAACACAACCCTGATTATTTTTTTTCTTTCTTGATTATCTTTTTTTTTTCAATGTCGGTTTGTTGAGATTAAAAAAACAATTTAACAAAAAGCAAACGTTAAAGATTTCAATAGGATCCAGCTGACTAGAGCAGGTTTCAATAATTGTTATGCTTAAAAGCTATCATACCATTAAATTTCTAACAAACAAAAAAAAATGATATATACACTAAAGTGCTAATATTTTCAACGATTTGACAAGAAAGTCCTAAACTTTATTTTTTTGACAGTAAAGTCCTAATTCACGATTTGACAAGAAAATCCTAAACTTCATTTTTTGTACTATAAAGTCCTAATTACCGGCTAACCGAAAAAAATGGTAAATGTGTCAAAAACTGCCAGTGGTAGTTAGGATTTTATTGTCAAAAAAATAAAGCTTATGACTTTCTTGTCAAATCGATGAAAATATTGAGACTTTAGTCTATATATCCCTATTAAATTTTGGGGGGTTTTCCTTTAATTTTTTCTAGTTTGTTGTATCTTGTTGATTTTCAGGGTTTTTTCTCTTCTATATTTTTTAAGTCATGCAATATCATTTATGGTGCACTTTTATTTCAACTATCATAAATATCTTTCATAGGGTTTAATAAATTTTCTTACATTTGTTGAGATATCTCTTATAACATAAGGATTTGTTAGATGGCTTATCTGCCCCAAATTATTTATGCGTTTATACATTGCTTTCTTATTTGGAGATAGAAGTTCAATTTCCTTATCCATCCACTAAATTACTTTCTTTGAACTTATTTCTTTCTTTAAAATTAGCAACTGTAAACTCTTTGAACCTCTTTTACCTTCTTGATTTCTTTCTTTCAGGTACATAAAGAACATAGATTCTTGCAATTTTACTTGTTATAAGCGCTTTTACCTTTGAAAAATTAACCTAAATATAGTTTTTTTTTAATAAAAGCATATACTTTAAAAATCTACCAATTATAGCCTTGTACTTCAGTTTTCTTATTATAAGATGTATCCTTTTGGTTGAAATTATACCAATTATAGCATTACACTTTGTAGTATATTTTCTGTTGCATCTTTTTAGCTTTCATTTTTTTTTATCCAAAGATATTTTAGTTTTGAAAAATCTACTAATTAAAGCATTGTAGTTTCACTTTTCTTTTTATAAGCACATTGTACCTTCCTTTTACATATTTTTAATTTTCAAGTTTTTTTCTTATTAAGATATTTTACTTTGAAAAATGAGTTAATGTTTGTGTAGCCCAACCAAATATCGGTTTCTATTTTAAATGATCCCTCTTGTTATTTTTTTGCATCCTACCTAAAGGCATTTACTTCAGTTTTTAGGTTTTAAAATGCCCTTTTGTAAAAAAATGAAGGGTTTACAGACAAATCAACTATGTAAAGTTCCAAGAACATTAGGACCAATAGTACCCAACTCCATCTGGTATTTTCCATTTTCTTATAAACGCATTTCTCTTTAAAAATCAATTGAAAAAAAAGCATCGTATTTTAGTTTTCTTTCAATTACTACATTGTCACTTTCAAACTTTTTCTTATCAAGGCTATCTACCAAATATCGCCTTGCACTGTAACGACCCAAAATTTTCAATTAAAATTTTCATTTTAAATTAGCCAAACATTCTCATAAAATGTGAAGTAACATTAACCACTGTTTTCAAAATTCATAACATTAACATTTTATTCAAAACATCAGAGTGTCCCATCAAACAAAGGTCGGAGAGTGCACGCCGCGCCATCAAGCCTTACCCTTGCCCTTAGGCTCAGATGTACCTGAAATAAATCAACAAACTATAAGCTAATGTTTAGTGAGTTCCTCATAGCATACCCCACACACAATCCACATAAACACATATCATATTAGCTATAAAAGCTACATATACCACATAAGTCATGCATACAACATATAGGGATGCCCTGGAAACCTTCCAGGGTCTTACTCCGGGTGCCGTGGGAACCCCCGGAGGTTTTAGCCCAAGGATGCCCTGGAAACCCTCCAAGGTCTTACATATAGGTGCCTCGGGAACCCCTCAAGGTCTTTCATGCAAGTATCACAAATAACTAGCATATCACATATTCCATAACCAACTATCATATCACATAACCAATAATGGGCCGACCTTGGTGCCTTAGACCCATTGGTATGGTGAGGAGACTCACCTCTGTCTGCTGAATCCGAAAGTTGCTCTCCTAAAAGTCTGTGACCACCCGTGCTGAACAATAATACCATTAATCCCAAGTTAAGGTCGGACATAATCCAAATTAAAGGACCCAAACCCCAAGTCCTTTTTACAATGACCCAAACCCACTAACTCAAAACGTGACCAGGCCCAAAGGCTTACAAGCCCAAAACAAGTCCGAGTCCTTCTGTTGTGCGTACGCAAGATGCCTTGCGTACCACCCTCGTACGCACACCGTACTGAGTCCTTGAGTCGTACGCGCTGCGTACTCTAAGTTACGCCCAACGTACAAACAGATTAAGCACTTTTTCCATTAAGTGCTTAATACTCGATGTTCTAACGTCCAAACTTTAGATCTGATTTCATTACGACGTCCTAAGGCATAAAGTTGGCAAATTTATGCCTTTGCATGTCCCCAATGCTCCCAACAACCCATTAAGACCTTTCCAAGAGTCTTAATCCATGCATGAGGTCAAAACATCCATCAAGACTCCATTTTTATGCTATGAATGGACCAAAGGACTTCAGATCTATCCTCCCTAAGCTCTTGAGTTGCTCAAACTCTGAAGAGGTTGTTCAAGAACACAAAAAGGGACTAAGGAGAAAACCCTAGCTCTAGAAATGGAAATGATAACCAAGGTGAAAGCTTTTTACCTCCTTAAGCTTCCTAGACTGCTCAAAATGTAAGATCCAGAAGCTCTTCCTCGTTTAAGCTTGTTTCCTCTTCTTCTTTGTAGCTAACACACAACAAGGATGATGTTTAACCACTTAAAAGCTCAAGAACACACTCTCTAATGATTTTACGGTTTTCAGGGACGTTTAATATGAAGGAGGCGGGTTAGGGTGAAGCTCAAATGAGATAAGGATGCTTATATAGGTCTTAAGTCCGAAAATTAGGGTTTGAACATCCGTCATATACGCCCCTCGTACCCTTTGGTACGCCAGCGTACGTGCTGGCCCTCCGCGATCATCCATGCATGGTACGCTAAGCGTACTCATGAAGTACGCCCAATGTACTTAAGGGACTTATTATGCAATATTTAAAATTTCAAGGACTTCAAAGGTAATACTTGATTTGGAGTGTTACATGCACTTTCAGTTTTCTTATTATAAGCACATTTTTCTTTGAAAAATCAACCCAACTAGTTGATTTATAATTTACAATTACAAATAAAGGGATATCACAGTCACATATATCACATGTACTTCTGTTGAGTGTGTGTGTGTGTATATATATATATATATATATATATATATATATATATATATACATACAATGAAGATGTTACAGTTGGTTGAGTTTTATGTACTTTACTTATGTGAATCTTTTGTCTGTTATATACGTGACTTTACATTTCTCGCCACTTTCAGTTCTTAATCCAGGTATGTTCTATTCTATTAAACATTTGTATATATTTTGTTGTATACATTTCTCGCCACTTTCAGTTCTTAATCCGGGTATGTTCTATTCATTGTTGTATTTAGATGTGGATGTTGTACCAGGTTTGCTAAATTGTTATCTTTTAGATGTATACGATCGGGTAACCAATAGACTTGTGATGGAGAATGGAGTCATTGAAATAACAAAAGAGCCAGTGCATAAGATGATGGGTTTACCAATAGCAGTGGAGGATTTGAGTAGAATGCCTTACTGTGAAATCGGTAATGAGATTCTGGAGGAATGGAAAGCACAATTTGTAGACAATAAGTTTCATGGCGAAGCATATGTGAAACATATTATAAGTACAGAAGAAGACAATATGATATTCAGGCTGAACTTTCTTACTCTGTTCAATAACACCTTCATAGAATCAATGGAAGGTGGTACCAATAATGTCAAAGTGGTTGAGAAGTTAGTTATGGTAAAGGACTTCTCGAAGATTGATTGGTTTAAGTATATGTTGGACAACCTACGAACTAGAAAGGATATGTGGAGAAAGGATGACAAAACATGCTACTACTCGAGGCCTATCACTTTGTTATTGAAAACGAGTCATTGTTTTAGATTAAAATGTGATTATTTGATCATAAATCAGTTCTTCAAGGTTTTTTTAATGATTTGTTTATTTATCCATTGTATTTCAACTATCATATGTGTATAACGTGAGGTATGAAAATATAAAGTTGGATAAAATGATACCATTTATTGCACATGTAAAGGGTGATAAGCTGATAAAAATACAAGAAACATAAAATAAGTTGGGAGGGTTCAAGAGGCAATTTAGAGATAGTTACTCAGATGATGAGAGATTGGGGGTGAAGAGGAGGAAGACATATGCAGACTTTACGGGGACATTGAGGTAAAGTTAATTTTGTTTTGAATTTAAGTATTATTTTTTTTTGCCCGATGTTAAAATTATGTTTTTTAGTGTAAAGTGGTTTCAATGAGTAATTACATATCAGAAAGTAATTGATTCTAAAAGATTTGGTATTAACTAATTTCTTTATTTCATATATGTAAACTAATAATGTCATATTGCAGGTGTTTGCTGCTGTAGTGGAGCACAATTATGGTAAAGTACTAGCAGAGAAGAGTAATATGGAAGTTGCATTAAAATATGGTTTGGAAAAATTTCATGATAGCAAAGTGCTAAAAGAGTGGTTAATTAAGAAGAATGAGTTATTTAATGAGAACGATTTTGTTAAGGAGAATGAGCATGAGAATGATATTGAATACAATGGAAAAGAAGTTGGTGAAGATCATGGAAATTTATCACCTATTAGATGATTGGTAAAACAGAGTTGCACTTTTCAAATAGTAAACAGGTAACTGAAGAAAACAATGCAGCTGTCGTGGTTGGATTTAATTCAAATGAACCAAGAAATTTGGATGAGGAACTGAACATTGTTGCCAATGAAGATGTTATTGGTAAAAGGGGAAAAAGCGACAAGAAATCTACAAATTTCTTTCATTCCCCCTTGTATCGAACGGGTGATTAGAATTGGTGATTGATTGAAGAAGGAGGAAATTGAAATGTGCAAGACAATCTTTGCATCTACAAATTTCTTTCATTCCCCCTTTATCGAACGGGTGAAGTTTTGCACCAAGAATTTGTGTACCATTTTAAGATATGTATATCCATTCTAGAATTATTGATCGGTACAGGGACAAAGGATCGATTGGTCGATTGTTCTTGGATACAAAAACTTTGGTATGGAATGTACATACTTTTATTGAATTTTCAAAGTACATAACTAAGTGTAATACTGAGATTTGTGTTTTCTTTTTATTACATACAAGGAAAATGTTGCACGAATCAGGTTTGGAAGTCGAAGCATGCATTAGATTGTTTGATGCATTGTTGAGAGTTTACATTAATAAGTTAAAAGTGTTACCAAGTTTGAAAGATGTTGGGATGGTTAGTTATTTTGGAATTAATAATTTTTTACATATTCTTGAGAAATTAACATTTTGTTTTTTGTTTTTTTAACAGTTTTTCATCCCAGTAGTGGATGTGGCTATGTATTACTTGTTGTACTTTGATCTGAGGACAATAACGTGCTTAATAATTGATCATGTGAACCGAAGAGGAAGCATTGAGATTGTATATGGAAGAACACCTATGATTTTGGTAAGAGTAAATGAATATAATCATTTGTAATCATTCTAACTATGAATATATTTTTATTTTGTAATTTATGTTAAAATTTCTTATTTAATGACAGTTGAATCTTTTGTGCAAGTACTTATCATTACAACATCATCCAATAGTAAAAACTTTAAGTGCAGTCCAACCGCATGTAATGAACCGGGACCAAATTGTGGAATATATCTTATGAGACACATTGGGAAATGTATTCTCTTAACTCGAGGTAAAATACAGTTTCTTGTAAATATGTTTTTGACCGACTGTTGTTATCCACTAGCTCCGACAACCTAACACCTCCAATAAACTGCTGTGACCACCTCCGGTCCGACCACCGATGGTGTTTCTGCCACACCCGTCATAACAGAAAATAAGAGATATAGAGAGTGAGCGCGAGAGAAACAAATCGATAGGCGGTGGTCCGACCACCGGTCGAGTTTCCGCCATATCCCACCACTGCCGAACCCACCTTTTCACGAGCTACCATCGACCATCAAAGTATGGTTGAGAGAGAGAGAGAGAGAGACTGAGCGAGGCTAACTGTCGTCCACCACCTCCGCCTCCGCCGTTAACTACAATCATGGTGGCTTTTGGTCGGCCGAAGGTGGAGGTAGAGAGAGGCGATGAAGGTCGGAGGTGGTGTTTCGACATCCTCTGCCAATAACTGTCGTCACCTGCGCTGTTAGAGATGGTGGCTCTTGGTCGGCCGAAGGTGGGGGATGGTGGAGTCGTAGAGGCTGCTATAGTTGTGAGGGGACGAGAGAAGTGATAGCGGTTGATGAGAGATTACGTTTTTAGGGTTTATTTTTTAACTTATAGGTGGTTGGGTTGGGTTGGGTTAGGGTTTGAAGGATATTGCGCTGGCTTTGAAACACCATGCTTTTTTTAGAGGAAAATTGTATTTTATTAAAAAAGTGGGGGTTTTAAAAAAATGATATCTTTAACAATTTTATTTAAATAAATTTTTTTTAGTGTTAAATGTTTTAAAATATTTATTTTTGTGTACTATGATTTTAACATAAGAATACTTTTGTATAAAAATATATTGTGATTTGTAAAAAAAATCCATAATAATAATAATAATAAATGATATTTGAATTCTATCTTTAATAAGGAATTAATAATTACAGATAAAAGTCACGAAATTATTATATAATGATAGATAAGAAAGTAATTATTAAGGAATTAATAATTACAGATAAAAGTCATGAAATTATTATATAATGATAGATAAGAAAGTAATTATTATGTGATAATTAAGTTATTTAAGGAAAAAAGCAAAATAATGATAAGGGATCCATTAAGATTATAAAAAAGGGTATTGTTATTTCTACCTCACTTTCAGTAATCCTATCCTTTTAATCATTATTTTTTTGGTGGTTGACTTTTGTTTATTGCAGCTTTTAGAAATTTCAGACTTATTAGCCAATTAATGTAACATGAAAAGCAGTGTTCTTAATAATCTCAATATTTTCAGCTTTTTTTCACAGAAAACTGTACTTATTTTCGAAAAATGAGTTTCACTTCTAAAAATAATACAATGTCAATACTAGAACCAATAATTACATTGTAAAACGCATTGTCAATCCACTTAATCACACAATAAACCACAATACTTGTATATTAACAAGTAAAATGAGTAAGATTAAGCAAAATATTAACAAATATTAAAAAATCTATTAATGTAAAGCCATCCCAAAACCATTATCCTCAACCACCGCCGGCGGCCGACGTTATATTGCCGCTACTAACAGTGTTATCTCTTGTGTTTTATACAACAACTCTATGTGTGCATGCAGCCCTAATTTGGATCTATGTTTTCACTATTAGACATATAACAAATGAACACAAATGGAAACCCTAGCATGCATATAATATTTCGAAAATCACAAACAAAAGATTAGAATACATACCTTTGTTGTTATATAGTAATAACAACTAAATCTTGAAGTTCCTTTGCTCTTCAGAACAAGTACCACAAATGTAGTACCTCTAATGGCTCACAAACACACTTGAGTGAGAGGATGAATATGAGAGAGAGGAGAAAGGGTAGCTTGCTCCAAAAACGACTCTTCTAGGGTTTCTCCAAGGGTTGGAAGAAATCTAGAGCCTAGGGGTCTATTTATACTTGAGGCTAGCTAGGGTTTCAGGGTGGAAACCCTAATCCCTTAACTTAGGGCCTAAGCAAGTCCATGGACCTCCTTACATTAGGCCCTTGGACAAAAACTCCTAGATACTTCTAGGATTTCCGGCCTAGCCCTAATAAAGGTGATCCAATGGCCCAAAGCCTCAACTATCAAATAATTACAAAACAGCCACTGCACTTTTAATCAGTTCCTTTAATCCCAAAATTAATTCCAAATTAATTTCTGATTAAATACTAATTAATAATATGATTCCAAATTAATATATTATTCATATAATATATTAATAAATCATATTTATGCCCCAATTTTATTATTCTTAATAATAAATCAGCCTCTCTCCTCAACAGTCACCCTGTCTAGTCACCAGTGTGAAGGCAAACCAAAAGGACCATGCTACAATCGGGTCAAGTACATACCAAATATAGTTATGGGCTTAGACACCTAATCCAATAGTCTCCCACTTGGATAAGTCTAATAACTATAATTGCAAGTACGACTTCAAAATCCGATTAGCAATCGTAGCTCTCAAAAGTCGTTGTCGAACTCTGACACGTCCTTTAGATAAGGGTCATATATTCCTCCATTCTATATATCGTATAGACATGAGACATGGATTATAATCATTCTCTCTGTCTATGTGTTGTTTCCCGATTTCCGATTTATGACAACTGACTAATTGAACAGATCAAATCAGTCCAGGCTTGGCCAAGCGCTTTGGGGTGTCATCACTAAATCATTGAGGGGCCCACAAATATCGCTTTTATCCCTCTTAGGGTAAAAGGAACGGATAAACTTCAACTCAAATGCTCGCTTGTACTTACTCATCAAATCACACACAACAATATGTTTTATAACACCAAGTTACTGGTGCGTTTACATATGTCAATGTGCAACCAACTTGTAAACTACAACTCACATGTCTCCGTTACAAGAATATAAGATATTATCGTCTCACAATCACCCGTGATAAAATCCATGAAGTGATTCACGTGAGCGTGGGTTTAATCCAATACTCAAATCTTATTTCATGAGCACTCATGAACACTGCAGCTGACTTTTTGCTATGTCTAAAACGCTTCAGACAATCTACAGTCGAATTCATGACAGTCTTGCCTCAATACCTACTTCCAAAGATGATTGATTATGGATGGTTTGAATAATATTATTATTCGGGAAGTCAAAACATGCGAAGTGAAATACAAGAATAATCGAATCCAATATGGCCTCAACACTTTGAGTATAAATAAAACACCTTTTATTTAATCACCATATTGATTACACATTAATCATTGTATAATGTTTCGGATAATCAACTTAATACTTGAATTGAAAAACAATAGTTATCCCATGCTCCAAGCATGCACATCATGTTTACCTATGGTCCTTACTTTGTGAAATAGATCAATTGAACACATTTCCAATGATGCTCATTTCACAATTCCCAATCCTTATCACAAGTGTAAGAATACCAAATTCTTGCTATGTGTTAGATTCTAACATTTTACGCAATGATCATTTTGTAATGACATAGCACCAAAGTCACCAAGACTTTGCCAATGATATTACAAAGTGCTCTATTGGAAATTGTTACAAGACAACTCCATAGACATGAAGTCTCAAATTCAAAGTACATTCATTTGAACATCCTTCTTGCATAAAAGTTTCTAATCTACATAAATCCTTAATATCGAAATCCCATTTGGGAAACATTTCCATATTTGTCATATGACAACACATTCTAGATAAAATCCTATATATTCATAATAATGTCAATATGGTCCATCCATTACTATACTTCCAACTGCCCACAAGTGATCAATCTTTGGCGAACCTTAGATCATACTTGACAGTTGTTTAATTATTTTAGTCATATTCGGTTCTGGTCCTTTTTCCCTCTTAATACCCTATGCATTTGGAAAATCAGAACGGTCGAATATTACAACACATGTAATCGATCCTATACCCGAAGCGTATGGGATACGATACATAATGTC